AAAGGGTGGACCCCTATGGCCGTGTAATGGAAGGTGTCCGGGTGCCCCCAGGTGAGCTCCCAATGAAACCGAAACACTTGTGAGGGTCTGGGCCTTGGGATTCACAGCCACCTTTGGAGACGCAAAGACCCCATCGCGCTTTGGCCAGAGACGGTACTAGAATGCGTTGAACCCCGCTGCTCTCTATTTTTTGACAAGGGCACAAATGAATTCCAAAGTAAAGTTCAAATTTGAAACGAATTCCATACTTTTTTCACATTAAGCAAGGCCTTAGTATTGTTAAAAAGACTTTCTTCTGAATTGAAAATATATTTTTGCTGTCCTTGGTTTTCATACGAAAACTTTTAAAAATTGTGCAAAAATGTGACATTACAATGTCAACGTAATTCTTTAAGCTGTTCTACAATGTCTACTGTTCCTGTTGTCATGTGGCATTACTCATTTTTTCCAATTCTGTATAGTTCCTACTCATCTGCAGATTGCTCTATAATCATACTGGGTATTCCTGAAAAAAAAACAAAAGTTAGCATTTTAAATGCTTACTTGTTATCAAAGATGATATTACTGTACTCTTAACATAGCTTAGAAATACTTGCAAGTTTTCTTGTGTTTCTGGCGTTTTGAAAAAATTAAGTTGAAAATTAATACATTTCATTCCCAGAATAAATGTTTCATAGTTACTGACAAAGTTCAGTGAACCTTTGTTTAGCTATAATTTCTTCTAGTTTCCAAGAAAAAAATAAAATAGAAGACCTACATAATCACTTTGTCCATCCATCCCCCTCACTAGCCCTTTGCTAATTCCAACCACATTCAACAAGGAGACAGAGATCTCAAAAGTACAAATTCCTAAAGGCTTCACTAAGACCACTCAACGGACAGCAGGTGGAAAACCAAACTAGGACCTCTGTGACTTCCTGACCTTACCACCACCCATGTACCCAGAGACCTGCCAGTAGCTGCAACATGCAGGTGGAGCAAAGTGGCCATAATGGGGCCACAGAAAAATTTAAGGAAGCGGGACAGCAGCATGGGGGACGTCTGGCCGTGCCAGTTCTGCGGCTCACAGCCTGCATAGGCTGGTGTAGAAAGCATTGGTTTATGATTGTAGCAAGTACCAATTTTGCTCCTTTGAAGACTAATTCAAAATGGCATGACTTGGCACGTGTTACAAAGACCTTTGCCTAGCCAAAGTGTAACTGAAGCAACCAATGCGTACTCAAGTTTTTACTTCAAAGAAAAAAATCAAGTTCCTAGAACATAAAACGAATGTATCCTGGGCTTTGGAAACATGGTTTTCAGAACAAGGTCACCATTGTTCCCATTTGGAAGTACTTATCAGTTATTTCAATATTCTTTGACCTCCTAAGATGTGTATTTATATCTTAAGTTGTGTTAAGTAATACACTGTTAGAGAGAAAACACATTACAGATAGACAAATGGATTCAGGAGAATCAAATTACAACTGTTCAGGAGGTGTTACTATAGGGGTCTGAAAGCCAATCACAGTTGTGATAATAGCAATTACAGGGCCTTTAAGTTCTGTTGGTGAACAAAACGAGGTCTGTGGCAATGAAATCTGAACTATAGTATCATCCATATATTAGTGACAAAGCCACATAGATCTGCATTAGTTATTTGATTAGGGTATGACAGCTGCCATATTCCCCATTGTTTGTGGTGACCAGACACACTGCTGAGTCCAAACTGAATAGATCAAAAGTGAAGGGAGAAGTTTGCAAGAAGAAAGAAAAATATAAAGAATTAAATTCTCAGAAGTGTAAGTCAAGGGAAGAAAATAGGGTTTGAAAAAAAAGAGCCAAGTTTCATGTTTGTGTAATAGCTAAGAATTGTTAGGCCCAGTACTTGCACGAATAAGTACGAATAAGGGACAGTGATTCTCCTGCCTCTTCTGCAACCTAGATGGGAACCTCAGCCCAGAAACATCAAAAACCTATAACCAATAATATGGTGAAAGGTCCTGGGATCCACTAGAGAAGGAAAAGTAGGGCTTGTACTGGCAGCAGGAGAGGCCCAAGTGGAGCAAATATGCACTCACCAGCACATATATTCTTTCTTCTAAATCCGACAGCAGTAGGAGCAGACTTGACTTGTGTTGGGAGCTGCAGAGTTGATCCCTCCATGTTTTTAGTCTCTTTGTATTGAGCATGCTCCCCTTCTTCCCCATGTGAGGAGCTGAAATCTGCTACTGGCTGGAGAAAGGAGGTGGGTTTACTGTAGGGGAGGAGTAGGACAGTATAAAAGAGTCATGTAATAAACAAGGGGAAATAACTAGCTTTAACTGTGAGCCACAGGGAGGTGGACTATGAAGGAGATGTGAATTCCCCCT